AAAGAGTGTGTTTGGACAGAAAAAACAAAAAAATCAATTGGACTAGATTTCTAGATCGAAGACGTTTCACCTCTCATCCAAGAGGCTTCATCAGTTCTGACTGACTGGTGTTGAGCTAGAGATATTTATACCCCTCAGTGGTGTTTCAGTCCTAAGTTAAAAATTATGCTAAGTGTATGACACATTATTTAAGTTTAAAAAGATGCTTAAAATAATAGCATTGGTGGTTATAAAAGTGGTGAATGGTTGTGTTAGAAATGAATCAATCAGTCAGATAATTATTAGGCTTTAATGTGTTAGACTTCAGTGTGTTAGTAATGTAGTTTAGTAAGATTCCAAGTTTGCTCTAGTCTGCTCTGTTTCAAGGTTTGCAGTAAGCCATGACACCAATTGTTTTCTTGTATTAATCTTGTGTTAGATTTATGTCTGAATGATTGTTTTAGTTACGCACCACGTAACAACATCCACACACATTGAGCTACCTCATTTTGTTATTACTAGGTAATACGCAGCTGCTCCAAGAATGTGGAGCTCTAGATAAAAGATGGAGTCTGTGTAACCATCTGTGTAAGGGGTTAGCCCAAAACTGATAAATGTATTAGGCTCTGTGTTTCCGGGTGCTTTATTACCTGCTCTCTTCTCCAGCAGCTTGTCTGAAGGAGGGAGCTAAGAAACAACCCGGATTGTGTTCTGTAATCTTTATTCATATATATTTTTTTAAATAAACCAGCACTAAAATCAAGAAAGATGGACTCCTTCCTTACTCAGATCTGTCCAATAAAAGAACTGGGGTATAACAGTTGAAATAAAAACAAAAATGCAAAATTATTAATTTACTACACAGAAACCAGACTAAATAAATCAAATGACCAAGATGTCAGTTCATCAAAACGGTTTTCAATTACAGATAACAGTTAGGCAAAACTCCAGAAAGCTCATTTAATTTTAGCTTTAGCTAAGACTAACGGTCTACCACCAGCTAGCGCTATTGCACTCTCACTTTAGCTTTGTAACATCAGTTGGTTGTATCTGAGTGTAATTACTGCAGTTTGGCTAGGTTTTTTTCAGTTAAATAATTTCTATGGAATCACTATTTTCTGTGGTAAAACAAACATCTTAACCTCTTCATTTAATTTTGAACAAATATGTAGTCATTGTGTGTTAACTTTGTAGGGCAGCACACAGCTTGTGCTCCTATGATGCAGAGATGAGACTCCCAAAACAAACTCAAACAATACAGAAGGAACAAGGGGTGAATGAGAGACTACAGCGCAGTCCTCTGGTCTAAATAATTCAAAAATAACCCACACAGCCCTTCAACAGTGTGTTCAATGTGTTACAGAAGTTTGGTGGGAATTGAAAGAAGAGTCCCATTAGTTGCGGTGTAGATTTTTTTCTACCAGAGGCTTATCTGCCTGCCCCTTGATGTGGATCAAGCTTTTGGCATTTATTCACATAAACAAACACACTCACAAAGACAGGCTCTAAAAGCAGGGCTACAATTAGGCAAACCAGCTTCATTACTATTCTGCCAGATAGATGAAGCTGAAGCTGACAAAAAACACCCTCAACCTTTGCTGCCTTCAGCCCACCTCACATGCATCATCTTCACAAACTCAAAAAAAAAGAGGAAAATAAAAAGTCCTTAACAAAACACTGAAATTGTTGCAGCCTCTTCTGTCATTGCCTACGCTTGCATGTAGAGGTGGGAGTTGAATTATTTACTGGACCTGATTCATACAGAGCCAGATTCTTATGAAATCCTTTTTATGGGTTATTGGGTTACATTTAAAAAAAAAATAACCATGTCCTCTCATCAACTCCCTCTCTCGTCTTTCAAATTCCATTATCCGGA